ACAATCATACTCTTTGGATAAATTAATAATTCTATAGTTTTTTGAATACTAATGCAAATGTCAATTAATATTAAAAAGTAGATACCTATAATAAAAACATACTATATATAATATAGGTTTCATTAAAAATAATAGTTTTATAGTCGAGTAAAATGTCATGCTTATTCTGTTAATTCATTGGATATGCTTGTGTATATTATATATTGTGTTAATCAATTACAGATTATATATTAATAAATCGCAGTAATATGTCTATCTTAATCTAATAGTAAAGAAACTTAAAAAAAAAACAATTAAAATTTATTATTAACACTGCATTTCATCTAAACTACAAATAGATTTAGTATAGATATACAGATCATACAGTCCTAAGTCGATAAAATGGGAAGGAAAACGTTAGTATGGTGTAGTACTTTCCGAAAAATGTTAGGGACCGAACTTGGGTGCAGCCGAAAATAAGCATTTATATAATATATTAATTTTTCATCATTGGTAATTAATGAAAAAATATATAAATAGTGGTAGGTAYTATACTAGGTATTTTTTCTGTATAAATATTTAATAAGTACTTACTATAGTGACAACTGACAACGCTATATAGTTCTACACAATATTTTAAATTTATCWTTAAATAATAAATGTATTTCTCTATAGAACAAGACTTGCCCATAGACGAGACTTGTTTATCGTTACTAATGACATGGAATAACAGTGCTGGAAAAGAAAAAAGTTTTCTCAGTATAGCTAACTGTTTAAGAAAAATAGACCATGAAAAATTAGCCGAATGGTTGTCGGACACAGTTTTTACTCAATTGAGTATGGAATTAAGTAATAGTTTTCTTCAAAACACTACGTTACAAAGAAATACAGCTACAGTTTCGTCCCGATCACAGAAAGTTCTACAGTAAGATCAAATCAAAATGTAATAGATTAAATTTTTTTTAGTGATGTTTTGCATTTATTCGATAGAATTGAAAGTTGTCCATATGATAGAAATGTTTTGTTTTTATTATTCGATACGTTTTGCATGTATTTCATATTGATGGCCATYGTAACATTTGTATTCTATTCATTGGGTTTGTTGGTTCGAACTATAAAAGAAAGCCAAWACATTCTTAGCAAGTATATTATTTTTAGAAATTAAAAAGTAACATTTTGTTATGTAATATAAATATAATCATAATCATAATCAATCATCAACCATTATTCTCAAACTGTTAAATATAATTATATTCATTGAATACATGAACAAAATGATATCACAAAAAATTTGAATTCTTAATTTTTCCTGATCTTATAAAAAAAATATTATACTATTTTTTTTTTGCAGCATCACAAAAAAACGTTACAAAATTCTTGAAGTTGGACACATACCACAAGATTTAAAATCCGAAGACGTCATCTTGGAGCATTTCTTTTAAACAATACCTAATACCTATAATCTATATACTATATAAAATATAAATAGTAAAAATATTATGTATTAAATAAATATGTTATACCTACTTTATGTATAGGTATCTACGACCTACTGTCTACTGATACCTATTAATACAATAAAATTCTCTCAACAGAATATGCATTTTTGTTGTTGCACATAATATCTTTGTGGTTTATCACTACAAGTTATATAATATTTTTTGGGTGAATAGTACATAATATTGTAAATTCGTAGAACAAAAAGTACTTGAATAGCTAAATCTCATTTGTATCAACATCATATGCAATGTATATAAAATGTAATATTATAATATACGTATAATGTAACCATCCCAAAACCTCTCAAAGACTGAATTATTGTAAAATACCCAATAATTAATAGTAATTTATTTTATAGTCAGGCACCTCTTTCCCATTGGGCACTTTGGGCACATGCCTGAGGCARTGAGGCCCCGCAACTAATGGGGCCGCTAGCTCCTGCCAAATCACCAACCAATAATCTATATTTATTACGGATAAATAAACTTAYTTCGAGTAAAATCAAAAGATAAACGCAAATATAGCCAAAATAATAATACAATTGAAGCAGATCGGTCGTCCATTGTAGGCCTCGTAGTATCCCCATTATAATTTCACTTCCCAGGGCCTCAAAAAGGTTAAATACGGCCCTATTTATAGTAAAATTATACGCGCGACGGCGATGTCCAAGATAATACGCAGACAATTTAATTGGTTATCTACACATCAATTCCAATAAATATTTTTAGGTAAGTTATAGAAAATAGAAAAAAATTTCTAGGGCACATGAAAAAAATCTGTCCGGAGTCCCACAAAACCTCCTACCGGATGATATTTTCATATCATCACGTCGTGGCAGCGTAAGTTTCACGTAGTGTTCGACGTATCAGCCTTGCAAGATTCCAACTACGGCACCTTGCTAAACTCCACATTATTTTTCGASACCAAACTACAAACGGACATAAAATGCAAAATGTATCGGCAGATCACCGTCTAAACATCGCGCTTATCAATATATTTTAAGGCGCTTGTCCCCGCTAAGGAGTTAAAGGAGCTCTACTTGNTTTATAATTTTTAATTCATATAAATTCATATATTTTACAAATCATCTATTTATAATTGGCTTAAACAAATGTATAGATGAAGGGGTAGACAGATGAGAGGCATTGATCAATTTAAATGAAGGTAGGTATTATCAAGATACCTATTGATACCAAAAATCGGTATCTAGTCACTTAATGTTTAAACAAATTTAAATTGTTTTAAAGTAGTATATCAGTTCCAGTAAGTAAATAAGTAATGCTTTCTTTAAATATCCAAATTATATCTACAACTGTTTCTGTAGTACTTACCAGCTATATCAACCTCTATGCATCCATTACTAAAGAGTAAAGGTGTTAGAACTTGTATCTCAAGATGAAATAAACATAGATGATATTAATTTTATGGAAATTGAACCTCTTGAGGGTATAAATAATAATGCCGAAAATACTTGCCATAATGCTGTTCAGACATCACCACAATCTTCCAAAGTAATAAATTATTGTAATTCTTTAATGTTAATGCAGGTAATTAAATAATAGGTATACTTTAATAATTAGATTACCTACATATTATTATGACTTTTTTCATAGATAATTACCTCCGCTATAATTTATAACCAGAAATTTTTATTGTACCTACGACTAATAAAAATCGATATATTAAAAAAAAGCCAATTGTGTGTTCTTTGACTTCGAATAACCTTTAATGCGTACATATCGATGGTGACTTTTTTCACGTTGTTTACAACAATTTCATAAAGGTGTACCTAAATTCAGCTAGGTGGGAATTTTTCCGAGCTGAAAATCTAATTTGACTGGACTATGTTGCTCTGCTCTGAATATAGCCTTGAATTTATCTATATAAAATATTATGTTATTTATAGATTTACGTAGTAGTACTTAATATAAAGATGGAGTCTATGTTTTTATGTATCTACTAGACTAATAGACTGTAGACTAATAGATATATTTACAATAGAATATTGCACTGTATATATGGATTAAAAATTATGATAATAGCTGAGTATAATTTACATTACAAGTTGAGAGATCATTACTGTGTAAGTAAAGTCATTTTATTACGAATAATTTAAGTATGCAACTAAGATTTTTATAACATAATTTATTGAAAAAGTCACTGAAAACATTTTACATATTAATACATAAAACACATATTATAATTTTAGGTTTCCATTTTCTTCTTTATAATATATATATATAAAGAATTATAAATTATATATTGTAATAAGTGTGTTTAAATCGTATATTTTTAGGCTCAGTAGCGAGTACAATACACAAATATAAATATAGATAATCGAATCATTTTGGAAACGGGTTTTTTCCTAACCTAACCAAGGGTCGGAACTTGATGCGCTAAAAAGTACTAAAATATGCGCATTATATATATCTATGCGTTAAAAACATCAAAATATGCTAAACTGCAATTTATTGAAAATAATACAATTATTCACATACAATATTTAATAATATGCACTTTCTAGACAAATATGCAAATGCCTAAAGTTCCGAGCCTTGCTTATAACAAATTATAACAGCTAACAGTACTGTATAGGA